CCAGTTCTTTCTCTTCTCTTCTGCTGTCTCCAGGTATTGCAATGTCCATTATCCAGACTTTATTATTATTACTATTATTTACAGTATAGTTTTAAATGGCCAATAATAGACTAACTCCAGTTCTGAATAACAGTCAGCACAACTTACCTTTACAAACAGGGAAGTTATCTTCTCTGAAGTGTTGTAATAGCGTGAAATGCTGTGGATCATTTTGATAGCATGAATGAGTCCTGGAATAGCATCTACCATGATCACCTGAAATGCCAACAAGATGAGTGGTGATGTAAAGCATCATTTGGCTAGCATCATTTACGTCAAGTAGCCTGAGGGCACAAAGGCATCTACCATCATCCCAAATAGTACTTGCAGATCTTGCCCAGATAAAGTAATTTTTAAAGTTGCCAGGATTTTATGCAATACTGAGACTATTGAAATCTATATTGCCCAATATAACGTAGGATGTATTATTAAGTTATAACTCACTGAACTCTTTATGCAGTTTCAGAACTGTATCTTTTTTTTAAGTTGCACTTGCAATCATTAACTTGTGATCTGGGCATTTCTCTGCTATCTACAAGTGTGGCAATCCAATGAGCAGACATTTTTAACTTACAGGGTCACTGTTATACAGAGGGTCACAGCATTTTTCAAGGGTATACAGATACTTCACATTGTCTTTGGCTTCATTTGTTGCATCAGTGATCCGAGTATCCAGTTCTCGCCAACTCTTGGAAAATGAAAATGAAACAAATGCTATTTAAAAGAACATATGGTATTTTAGAAAAGTTTTGGTCCTGGTTTGTTATAAGATAGTTAGCATGTGTCTTAAATCTCACAAGGATTAGAATACCAATTCAGTGACAGCAGTAAAATATTACTGCAGACAAGGCTTGGCAACTTCTAGAAGATGTGGACTGCAACTTTAAGCACTGAAATCATAGATCATGCTGGTTAAGACAGGAATTATACTAGAAGATTGTTTTCCCCAGCCAAAGTAACTGGCAAAGGTCTTTCATATTTAGGATTTATATTAGTAAGCTCAAAATAGCATTGTATTTTATTATATCAAGCTATAGCTTTCTCCTGTATATTTGGACGACAAATCTAGGTCTGTCTTTTTACAAGCATGATTTCTGATGCCCACTTTTTAAAATACAGATTCTGTATTTTAATTCTGAAATGTGATAGATTTCAGAGTAAGTTGCCTTCTCAGCTCATTGGGCTGAAAGATTTTAAATATATGTGCATTACTATAAAAATATTCTTTTTAGGTGGAATATAAATTATTCTTGAATAAACTGACTGACACACCTTCAAAAGTTTTGATTTAGCAACTGTAAGCACACCAAGTACAGCCTTTACATCTGAAGTCTTGAGCTGGTCCAGTAGGTAGTTAAATTTTGATAGCCTCTTCTTCCAGTGATCCAGCTCAGCTCGTGGACCAAGGTTATCTGCCTCTTTCCGTAGCTGGCTATTTTCAGCAATGACCTAAATTTTAAACCAAAAGTAGTAATTTGTCTAATATGGAAGCTTTTTTCAGTATTAAAAAAACATGGTACTATGTGAGTTGACAACTAGCTAGCTAGCTTGCTTGCTTGTTTTCTTTACCCAATTCCTTATCCTTGAGACTAATTGATCAATTCTTCATGTTAAGCAAACTAATAAGAAACAAGAAAACAATTGCCAGCTCAAAAAAAACTTATTCTGATGGATTACCATTTTACTATTTCGCTACAACAATTAGAAAATTGTACATGGTTTGGCTTGTTCTATTAAGTGACTGTTAGCAGATCTAAGTTAATATATGAGTATGACCACTCACAGGTGTTATGGTTAAGAGTTTACAGTCAACTTTATATTCAGGTCAGTTTAACCAAGAAGATAACTACTATGATGTCAATGACAGGATGTTTCACAGTGACCTGATTCACACATCACACTACACCATAATGTCATTTTGGCTTTCTATAGTGCATGGACCTAACCACTGTAGCTTGCAAATCATAGATTTAATACGCCGCCTAGAGTCACTTGTACAGTGAGATGGGCGGCATATAAAAATTTGAAAATAAATTAAATAAATAAATAAAAATATGCAAACTCAACGAATTGTGCTTACTGAATAAATTACTCTGTTATTCAGCACAATGTATGAATCTAGCCAGTCACCACCTAGGATAATCATAGGTCACAGTACATGACACCCTACTTTGTTTACTGCACAATACCAGAAGGGTCAAATGCTATATGTGAGCAGCTCAAAAATAATTGTGTAAATAATTACATCTGTATGTGTGTGTGTATACACACACATACATTAATGGCTGGGGACTACTGATAGGATAGTATATACTCTTAAGCTTCCAGGAAAGATAAATGCTCAATACAAATTCTTTACTTTGCCCCAGAGGGAAAGAGCTTTTGGGTGGGTAGTACTAATACATATGCCTTCAGTGGGAGGAGGGCAGAAAAGGAAAAGATGATCTGAAAAACCAGGCTGTATATAAAAGCTGGGGACTCAGACAAATTCAAGAGGTGGGCATTGATATCATTCCATTGTCTGATCTGGAGCTGGTTGATCAATCAAAGTCACTGCAGTGTAATTGGAAAAGCTGTGGCATGAGAGCAACCGCTGCTTACATTATTCAAAGTATAATTGGGAACTATCACTATTGCTTGCAATTTGCTCCAATTTTGGCAATACTGCGATATAAACTCTCATAGTCTCATTCCCCTAGACCTAAAAAGGATGATTGAAGCATTCAAGAGTTAGCATGATTAATAAGGCCATGAGGTGAAAACACAAGGTTTGTCACTGAGCCCTGAAACAAAAACTGATGGAATACAGAGTTTCTACATTCTTTAGGGTTACCTAATCTGGCTGCAAAATTCTGGGCCACTTCTAGATGACAGCAAAAAAATTTGGAAACTGTCATTCTTTTCTATTGTCTAGATTTTGCAGCCTAGATCTGGCAGCTCTTCTAAATGTGGTTTTACTGTAGGTGGATAGTGATTGTGGTTGCTGCTGCTCTGCTGCTGTAAAACAGGTTTGGAGATAGGAGAGTACAGTAATTGATTCAGAGACATACTGGGATGGGGAAAGGCCTAATCTGTTTTGCAGTGCTCATGCCCTGTTGCAAATCAGCACCATGAGGATCTTTCAGCTAGAGAGAAAAAACAGGATGATCATAGTTAACAACAGCTCCACAGATGCTATTGAATAAGGGTCTTGCATGTGAAAATGAAGCATTTGACAATGCCTTTTCCCCTCTTTCTCTCTGAGAAGGTGACTGTAAGTAGTTGCATATTTACATGACTCCATATACAATGGAGTGCTCAACCAAACTGTACCTGTTCAATTTGCTTAATCCACACTTTCACGCAGGCTTCTATTCGTTCCACAGTTTCCATGCTATTTGCTGCCACCAGAAAATCTGCTGGTCCTTTTAGCATTTTCAGATCATAGGTTTCACACTTCTTCAGAACCACCTAAATTATGTATTAGGTAATTATTCTTTAAAGTATGTTTCAATACCTCTGCCCAAGAAATTATGACTATGTAATTCACAAGTTAAACCCAGGGTACTGGTATGCAAGACCAATGGTCAGTTACATAGTATTCCATATTATTTAGTTGTGCATAGCTACATATTAGTTGCTTTTGAAAACACTGGAACAATATTATTGTCCTTGTGCCTTCCAAATGGGCTCTCTGCGAGACTTTGAGCATCTTCCAATAGAAGTCCAAAGAGACTCTTCATCCATATTCTATTTATATTAAAAACTGATCTACCACAAACAAAACAGACTCCTGTCATAATTCTTTCTACTTCATCCCTAGGCTATATCACACCTGCCTGCAGGTAGGACTTACATAGTTGAATGCTTCAATATAAAAGATCCTCCACTTAACAACAAAAAAGAGACTTTAGGAAGAAGGATTTAACCTTCTTCCATATCCTGTCATACAATTTTTTGGGTAGAATGATTTTTTGCTTTGGGTGGAAAGACATTTAAATCATGCAAACCCCTGTTGCCATCTAAAATGGTTCAATTCTCCAAGTATACAGTTTGGAGTTAGTATTTCTTGCACTTATTTGGCACCTCTAGTAATTCTTGCTGCCATAATCCATAGAAAACAACTATTTTGAACATATCAGCTAACAATAATAAAAATTTATTAAACTTGTATGCCACCCAACTCTCAACAACTCTGGATAGCAAGGATAGCATTTGAAAGATAACTTGCTCCTTCCCTGCTACCCAAACACATTTGTCAAAATTAACCTTAAAATGGATTGAGGATACTATATAAAACACACATGAAAAGAAGCTTTATATGTCATTTATGTATTTTCATTTGATTTAGTTCTGTTCCCAAACATACAGAATGACACCTTTTTTCCCCCCTAAAAAGAGCTAGGACACTAAATTGTGCTGTCCTTAAAAACACAGTAAGTGAATATTCTTATTGACATGATCAGCCTTACTCTTTCTCCATTCTTCTACTCTTAAGATCAGTATATTTTTCCAATATTTTACCAATGAGATTCACAATGATTACATAAGAATGAATAGTTTTACAATAAGTTGTCTGTTTTCTGATAAACCTGATTTTCAAATATCCTGACTTAGTGATTAGTTGATTGCCAATTCAGAACCGGTAATTTAAAATTTTAATTTATGCTTACCTTACACCAATCTTATCTGTTTACAGATAGTCCTCAGGTTAGGACCACTTATTCAGTGGCCATTCAAAGTTACAATGGCGCTGAACAAGTGGTATTATAACCAGTCCTCAAAGTTCTGGCTGTTGCAGCACCCCCACTTAACAATGGCAACCAGCACTGCCAGGATTGCCATTGCTAAGCAATGTGGTCATGTGACATCACACTTTATGACTGCATCGCTTAGAGATGGAAATCCCAGTCCCAATTACCATCATTAAGCAAGGACTCCCTGTATTTTGAAGGAAGCCCAATTTAGTCCAATAAGATTTCCCCCAGGTATCTATGTATACAATTGTCTCTTTAATCCATTTTAAGTTACAGTTCAACTAAATATGCTAATAGCTATAATATGATCATCCCTATTACAGTTACCATACCTTTCTTTTTTCCCATCTAAAATAACTATATGAAGAATAGAGAATTTCTTGCATTTTTAAAAGATGCGTAGAGAAGAAAATGTCAACAGAAATATTTATAAAACTGCTAAAATGCTCTTTAAATTAAAAAGTCCCTTTTGTGCAAGTTCTTCTACATTTTTACTATTGTATCAGTGGCAGATTTAGTATGATTGATGTACCTTTTCTCATTGTTCTTTAACTCCTTTTCTTCCTGGCAGAGAGCTAAAAGATAAATGCAGGCTTACCTTCTCCATCAGGCTCTGTTGAGCTCCCGAAAGGACACTAACAAATCCCTCCAGGGATGCAATGAAGTCCCGCTTGATGTTAGCCCCTTCCTGGGAACTACTCATCTCTCCCCAACCATAGTTCACAGTCTTCAAAGCAGGGATGAAGATATCAGATAGCAAATGCTGAACACTGTTTAGCAAACCACCATTTGCTGTGTCCATCATATTGAAAACTACTTCCTGATCATGAAAGAGGAAATAACATTGATAGTGGTTAGCTCAGCTTTCTCCAATTTGGTGTGCTCTCGAGATCTTCTGATATTACAGCTCTTATTTCAAGCCAGCATAACCAATGTGTAGTAGTCCAAAAGAAATATATATGGGAAAGGCTGACTTAGATACAATTCTTTGCTAAATCCCATTCGTACAATCAATCAAAAATGGATGATCACAGGCAATGCTAAAACGTCTCATGATCCAATGATAGAAAATGCATATAGGGAATACTTACACGATGGATATTCTCTGCATTAATTGCTTTAGAAGGATTAGTTCTAATGAAGAACACACATACACCAGTTAAAGCAACATCATCTCCTTCTGTCACAAATAATTTGGTCTTTTTGGTTTTAGCAGAAGGAGGGTTAGTTCCTGTTGAACTTTCATGTCCTATAAAGGGGAGAAAAGTCAGGACCCCCCAATGAATAAGAACACAGGAATATGTCCCCACATTTTTTGACACTATGAGAGATTAGCCAAGGATTGCTTCATACCTAAATGCAGATATATTAGTCTGGAATGGTGCATTGGCTTTAATTCAGAAAAGGTACCTAGGAATGAACAGGGGTGTGAGGGCAGCAGCATCTGCAACTCATTAAAGCAGTGGTGTCTGTTTACAGGCTTTCACCACTGCTATGGAAGTCAGTAAACAGCAGCCACATGGTTACATGGAATAGTACATGTAACACTGTACTGAATCAGGATTAGGATTTGTGCTATGAATGTAGTTTGCTTGACAGCCCCTCACACCAGACAGTCCATCCCCATCTCAAAAGAGAGAGCTGAGCTGGGTCACATCCAGAGGCAAATACCCAAGCCCATCTCTCTGCCAGAGACACAAAAGGTTTGGTCATTTTAAAATAAAGGGTAGAACTTGGGAGAGGTGTATGGAAAGAATCTGGGGAAGGAACAGGATTTCCATCTCCCCCACAGCCTCGGTTAAATGGCTGAAGTATCCCAAGAAACTAGGTCAGATCCAGGAAATTAAAGCAGAACAGCTGTTTTAGGGATCTTCTGTCTATGTAGACATAGGCAAAACATTTAGCCAGGAATTTGTACCAGGTTTGATTTCTATATGCTACTGAATGTAGTGCTAATGTCACATTGTCTAATTCTCCCTATTTCTCTGTACAAGATGGGAAATGGTGTTTATTTTACTTTGGATTGGGCTCCAGAAAATATCTTTTTCTATGCAGAATCTTCTTGTAATCTGAATATTAATTGGAATTATCTACCCCATCTTTTTTTTTTATGGAGACATTGAGGCAGTGAGTGCTTCACATAGCAGATAAGTACATTTTGTGGTCTGTTCAAAACACTGGATTTTCTTTTGGATTTTTTTTTCTTTAAATTGCTAGTTCTATCATCATGAGTGGGTCAAATCTGTATTCATCCCCTTCAACAATTTTATAAAGTTTGCTTTTGTTTATACCCTGTGATATTGTTTATATCTTCCAAACTGATGCAGAAAGGGCGGAATTATCTAGACATCTATGCTGTGCTATATCGCCAGGAGGCTGCATTATAGAAATTGTTTCTCTTTTTGCTTTGACCTTTTAATCACCAAAAAGACAGTACAGGGTGTGAGAGCCCTATCTCTTTCCCACACTGGGTTTGGGGAAAATCCCTGATGATACTTCCTAGATCCTGATAGATGCCACGCAGGAACCACCAAACCACTATCCCAAAGCAGGAGATTCAACCAATGTGTGAAGACCCTGTGTGAAGACCCAGAGAGCTTCTGGGAGAGGAGGTTTGAGGTCTCCAGCTTTCCACTCTAGGGGTACAGTCCTTTGAAGTAGCCAGATCAGGAAACAGGCTCCACAGGGAGTCCTGAAACTCTACTTTATTGTTGCAGGGTATATTAACAGAATCTTGAACACCTGGCAAAGATTCTCTCTCCCCCTCAACTTTATATCAAAGAAATCAAGGCTGGGCATCCTTTCTTCTTCATTCCTTCCTCCCCTTCAGGGTTAAACTGGTGTCTGCCTAATGGCTGTGAAATGTCTTCTTCAAGGCCATCTCCATAATCCTCTACAAGATGCTCAGCCATCTGCTATAACTTAATATAGGCATGTTACTACTGTGCTCGAATTCTACATATAAATATGTAATTCGGAACTGCTATAACTATTATCCACTTCTCCCATTTGAGCTCCCATGAGGGGTCATGAAGCTCACAGATCCCTGTTGAAAGCAGTTTAGTGCATTTATGAACCAAAGGTGACTGAATCCATAGAGGTCAGCCAGAAAGTGCTTGGGTAGAAGCTCTGTGATGTTTTGTTTATAAGTGAAAACATGAAGGGGAAAAATAAAGTTATCTGCTGAGTCTGGGCAGACAACACGTTTTATTCTGGGAAGTCTGCAATTTTTTTTTTTAAGGGCAAAGTTAAGTATCTTAAGTGGAGTTCAGTTGGGGATGTAAGCTAGGAGTAATTTTTGTTATGCCAATGGCAAACCTTTAACATGGATTTACACACAATTGAATCAACACCTGCAATTTGTCTTTTACAGGTTGTTTGAATTTGCAGATCAAGAGCTTTCCTAACTCTCCCTTCAAATCAAAAGCACACAGGGCAGAACATTGACAAACGTTCTAAAGTGGCAGATATGATCAAATGATAAACTGACAGACAACATTAAAAAATGGTGGCTATATGGCAGATGATCTGCATAGAACTTTTCAAGGGGGCTGCAGGCCACTAATCACTAACCCTTGCTTAAAAAAATGTTTTTAATAATTTTAAAATTATTTCTGTTCTCTCCTCCCTACTTTTTAATATTTACATGAACCTTATCTGTCAGTTCAGCAGTATATTGATGATACCTAATTATATGGACCAGACTGAAAATGCCATGGAAGTTTTGATCAGATGCTTGAAGATAGTGAAGGTCTGAGTGGAACAAAACAAGCTGATATTAAACCCTAACAAGATGGCCTCGCTGTTCATTCAAAGACCATCTTGTTCTTTGACAGTTCTGGTTATACTCTGAATAAAGTACTCTCCCTAAAAGAGCAAATCAACAACTTGGATGTCCTCCTGGGCTCACAGGTACTTCTGGATTCATGTGTGGAGGACAGCCATGGGGGCTTCACCCAGCTTCAGCTGACGTATCAGTTGCTGTTCTTTCTAGAGTGGGAAGATCTGGCAATGATGGCTCATGTCCTCATCAATACCAGGATATACTACTGCAACATGCTGTATATGGGGCTACCTCTGAACACTACATTGCTACCAAATGCAGCAGTCTCTGTGGGAGGTGAGAGTTGTTACACCTATATTGTGAGTGCTGCATTTGTGGCAAGTTGGATTCTGGGTACAATTCAAAGTGTTTGGTTTTAACTTTTTAAACATTATATGGCTTGGCTCCTGGATACCTGCAGGACCACCCTCTCCACATAAAACTGATATATCCAATATAAATAATCCCATATTAGGAGGTTATGGTTCCTTACTTTTGTGTGGTATGATCAGAATGCTGGAGGAGGTGTTGCTCTGTGGTGGTATCCACTCCATGGAGAGCTTCCCACCAGAGTTTAATTCAGCAGCAACCTTGATATTCTTTCACAAAGTTGCTAAGATGGAGTTCTTCTGCAGGGCTTTTGAATATTAATGTCACTCATCCTTGGGAGTGGGGGGGGGGAGCACCAATGGTTATTGCGTTATACTGCTTATGTTTTTAATAGTTTTGTTGATCCATTTTATTGCATGTTTTGTTTTTTGGTTTTATCATATTTTTACTTTTTCTAAACTGTTCCCTTGCAGGATCCAGCAGTTTATAAATACAATAAATCATCATCTTTCCCATCTAAGAAAATAATACCACAGGCATTTCTTTGCATACCTATTTCTGGTGCCTCCATGTCTTGATAATAAAACATGACATGACGAAAACCTCCAGCAGTGAAGAATTGATCAATACGCTCAATCTGTTAAACATTAAACAACTGAAAATTAAATGTTCATACATAGCATGTTAAAAGGAGTATATACAACTGAGTGCTAAATATGACTTAGAACATTTACCAATAATTTTATGGAAAGAGTAAAGTAATCAGGCTCTTCACATTCTACATATATTCTCAACAGATGATTGTGTCTGTTGTGGTTTTGTGTCTACTTCATGTGACAAAAATATACATTTAAAATGTGAATCAGTGCTCCAACCTTGGATATGGAGATCAAGCTGCTATGGTTTAATAAATGCAAGCGTGTGGGGAAATTCAAAATAACAGTTTCTACTATTATATTTTAACTGGTTAGCTTTATTTTCTTGAAATAAAAGCCATCTGATTAGTTAAAATATTAAACCGTACTCAGGAGGGGGTTCAAGGATAATTGGCGTTATTCTATGACCATTCTGATTTCAAGCATACTATAAATTTTATAATAATGTAATTTATCTTTAATCTAGCATTCCAGATTTGTTTCAGTTTCCCTGGAGAATAGACAAGTTATCATTTTTTAAAAATGTTGCAGGGATTGTTCTAGAAAAGCTGGAAAAGCCTTCATCACACATTCCTCATGAAGAGAATGCTGCTTTCCTTCTCAGATGAAGTCATTCATCTTCTATGATACGATCAGAATACTTGATTAGATCTGTAGCACTGAGAAGCAAGGCATTACTTAGGATCATCCACAAATGTTCTGTGTGTCATACAGTCCTTCTGAGTAATGGGAAATGTCAAAACAGCAAGGCCAGATTAAGGCCAACTGATGCCTTAAATACAGCCCAACAAATGTGCCCTTCAGCCCTTCCAGTACTTAACAGGTAAGACATTAAGACTCAATTAAGTGCTTCAAATTAAAGTCAAGTGTAGCAGTGAAAGAGTGAAGGGCATGATAGCTAGGAGAAAAAACTCTGTGATGCTCCTCTTCCCTTGGTGCCCTAAGCATTTGCTTATTTTGCTTAATGGTTAATCCAGGCCTGCAAAACATGAATGCAGAAACTGAACTATAGCAAGGAAGTGGTATGAAAAAATAATGTTTACATGGTGAATCTTCAGGAAGACTGCATTTGTTTCCAAAATTTTACTTTCAAACATATTATAAAATCCTGCTTCCACTTTCTACTCACATCAGCAGTCTACAAGGCACAAAATTGTTTTTGCACTCAGTTGGAGTCTGACAACCCTCATCATACCTGATTTCCTTCAAGGACAGCATCTTCCACTTCATTTTTCTCCAGGTTCACACAAGCAGAAACAACTGACAGTATATAGTCATGTCTACCATCCAGATGAGCTCGCTTGGCTTCTTTCTCCTCTTTCAGTTTTTGCTGTAGAATCAAAGTTTCTATTATAGTCATATAGGGAACTGAACATTCTTCTTCTGTATATTCTAAGCTAAAATATATCCTCATATATGAATCTACCATAACATTTCTCAATGTATCATCATTCTGAAACCAAAACAGGTGCTGATCCCACTTTGTGGGATTAGGAAGAAGATGAGACCACATGGGGAAATCTGATTGTTCACAAGATATAGTTGCAATTTTATGTATCCTACCACAGGGGTAAAACACTTCGAGTTCAATGACTAGGTTTCCATAATATGGTATTTTAATATCCAGGTCACTGCTTTGTGATTCAATATGTTGTATGAACCAAGTCTATATGATTAGATTTTGATAAAAACTATTACACCAACTCAGGCAGTTGAGTTAATTCAGTAAGGTGTGGTTAGGTATATCTGCATGTACAAATGTAATAAATCAGTAGGACTTATTTCTATATGCAGAATTGGGTCAAAAACCACTAAAGGGAGCGATGATATGGAGACAAAGCATAGTAAATTCTGTTAAGACTAGTAATTTTCAAGGTTTGTGAACTCAAAGGATATGATTATATTATGTATGTTTCAAATTAAGCTTTCTTATCTTCTAAAACTTTGATTTTAGGTGTACCCTTACTGACTACCGCTGAACAGTATTACATATGATACAACTGTAGCTTTCTTTAAGCAAAGCTAATTACCAAGACTCTTGAAATCCCATTAAAATGTATTTTAAAATTCTTTTAAAATGTATTTTAAAATCAATCCCATTCAATAAAATGAAAATATTTGCTATTCTTCCCATAGTTGGAACTACAGACTGAAAACAAATTTGACTGAATCTTAAATTGAAGTAGGCTGCTTTGGATCAAATCTTTGATTGTGCAAATGCAGTGACCCTCTTCCCAAAATCTATATTTCAGATTAGATTTGCATGATGTATTAAAGCATAGCCAACCATTTTATGACCAGAATATTGTATTCACCCAGCCCTGTTTAATTCAGTGTATCATGTGGGTTGAGTAAACCATGGTTACATTAACCAAGGGTAAATTTGCTGTGTGAATATAGCCTCTCAGTGTCTGACAGTTTAATATTAAACTCAGTGACATTTTTATTAGTTATTTTTTTTTAATGTAGAAGCTAACACAGTTATTATAACACCAAATACCATTTTCAAGAATATCTCAGAGTTTGGTATGCAAAATGATAATTCATATATGCACATGGTATCCTTTGCATGGTGAAGGACAGACAATTTAAGCCTCCAATACAGGATAAAGAGTGTCCAGATTTAAAAAACAGGGCAGACCTGGTCATTGTTTTATGTGTAGCTATTCAACCTTCTCAAAATGAGATAGAAATAAGATTTTAAACTTCATTTCCAAATGATGTCTCAGCATGGGATTGGAAAACAAAGCCAATTATTTGATAAAGCAACCTGAAAGATGGAAAGATCACATTTCACCCTGGCAGCAAATTGCCTGCAACAGTTTAACAAAAGCAGCAGTCAAAGCTGCTAAGCAACCAGTTTCCAAAGCTGCTGCAAACAAACATTACTGAAGAGGTGTGCCAGTTCCTGATCTCAAACTACCCTTTTCAGTTCTGACCAAAAATTAGCTCTGTTCCACTCATTCAAAAAGTCATGGTGGTTTCAGATGTGTGTCTATCTTAAATAGGAGGTCACAACAAGACTGAAATATTATAAGGGGCTACCATAGAAGAGCAGGTAAAGAATTGTCCCTTATTCTCCACACAAAGGGCTATTAGATCTAATAAGCTTAGATTTCAAGAGGATATCAATTCCAGTTACACATTAGAAGCTTCTGAATAAGAGCAAACTGACAGGAGTATGAAGGCAATTTCTCTCCCCTACCATTTGCCCCAGCACCTTGACCCAGAACCACACCCTCTTTATATTTAGATATCCTAGCTAACAGTAGTTCAGACACCAGTTCCAGTACATTTATCTAATTCTTTAACCATATAAAGGTGGGAGTCAACAAAGGGCTGCAATCCACCACTGAAGTTAACTGAGATTAAAACATGTTGGTCACAGCACACCCTTCATCAAATCATGAATCCAAACATATGGCATAATCAAGATTTCCAACACACGCAGATTAGCTCACTGTCCATATTAGCAATCTGGATATGTCTTCATATCAAAATATCATGCCAAGAAATAATTATACATATAAAAACCAAATTTATCATTAACATGCATATATTGTTAGTCCTAAATGGAAGACTAGTTCACATAATAGTAACTCTCATTGTGCAGTCATAACTGCTATGTTTTACCAAATGGAAACATGGCAATTAAAAAAATCATTTAAAAAACCTTTTTATATTACTACATTCCTGTAGAGGGACCTCAGAATCACCCATTTTAAAAAATATAGTTCTAAGCAATACTATTCTTTGTCCAATTCTTTGTAAAAGAGCCACACAGAGGCTGGTGGGTTTAGGTTTTGTGGATTTCATTAAGGACTTCCATTCTCCCCACTTCCCACAGCTCCTTTACCTTTTACCTCCTCTTACCTTTAAAACTTTTGAAACGCTTTGTTTCCAAAGTTGTCGCCTTCCAGTTCTGAACATTTTATTAGCTGAAATTTGCTATCTGTGTTGTTAATGTTAAGCCATTAGGATCAGCATGTACTTTGCTATGAATACAAAGCTTCCAAATGCAAGGATCACTTACAAAGTTCTCAGATTTCTTAACAGGACCCTAATTACGATCAATCTGAACAGAGCCAGACCTGCCCCAAAGCTCACCCAGCCTTTCCAAGCCTCAGAAATATGAACAATGTCTGCAAACCTACATAGTTTGGGTGTTGTTATGGTAGTGTTGACTTATAGAGCTACTGTGTTAAATTTGCCTATCAATCTTGGCACAAGTCAGTATTCCAGTACCTTTTACAAGCATGCTTTTGTTATTGTTTTGTTATTAATGATAGGTATGCTGTTCTGAAAGTATTTGCAACCTTAGAATAGCCTTCCTCAATGTGGTGATTTCCAGATATGTTAGATCATCTTCCAACATTTCCTAGACAGCAAGGTTTTAGTGAGGTACTTCATTAATGAATAATAGCTACTACCCCAATAATTATGTAGTTCCTCTGTCAGGCTTATCCCCATCTTGCCTTATCAGTTATATGTCTCTATTTCTCACTATTATCTCAACTTCTCAAATAACTCCGTCTTTTGTCCAATTTCCAGGCCAACCTCTTTCAAGCATTTATTTTTCTTCACCCTATAAAATACAAGCCCTCTTGATTTTAACCACTACATTTGTTCTGAATTTGTTTCTGGACAGTAGTTACTTTTCCCTGTGCTCCCGTTCTTGTGACGGATTCTTCCCTTGGGGCTACCATTTTCCAGTCAATTGTTTACCATCCGCTTTCATCACTTTGGTGAACTTCTTCAATGTCCTCTAATTTCCCTACTTTCCGGGATAAATTCCAAGCCCTCAAGTTCCTTGATAAGGTGATTCCTGTGTTCCTAGGGCCCACAGAGTATTAAATTCTAGTGAAGCCAAACGTTTTTGTGTACCACAGAACGTGATTGCAAATGTCATCGGCTTCATTCTCCAAGTAGCTGAAATGCTCCAACATCTCATGCCATCGCACTACTCAGGGTCAGGTGCCATGGGTGATCTCACAGTTGTTTGTATAAGAACATTTCTAGGATTTAGAGGGTAATTCTGTACACATAGAAAGGGAAAGTTCTTAAATTTTGGTGTAAAATTAAACTGGCTCATGCTGTTCAGTGCTAATATTGCAGCAGAGTGAACAGTTCAGAGCAGTTCAATCCAGCTACTGCTTTAAAAACACACAGCCAGCAGGATGCTGCCTCCAAGGCTCAGGAGAAGTCGCCTGAAAAGGACCCTGTTCCTTTTGCAGTGCAGCTTCTTTTCTAAAACTTGATGTTGTGGTGCCCTCAAGTGGAAAATATAAAATACACTGTACTAAATTTCATTTTTAAAAACATTGCTTTTAAAACAAGATGACGCAAATACATTCAAGCATTTAATACTCAAAAGCAGCAGTTCAATCCTTCCAGTGAAAGACAAGACACTGATAATTTTAAAACCTACCTGGTCTTTGATCTATAAGCCCACTAATGCAACACATATAACCCATAACCACTAACACTGTGAGTGTCTTTAGAGTTGCTCGCAAGGCCCTTATCCTAGGGTGATCACATCTGAAGTCCATCTGCCACTGCTCTATGAGTCTGTGGTGGCCACTGAGTACATATGGGTTTTGTTAGCACTTGGTAGTGCTCTGGAACATTCATTCCCTGTTCACAGAGTCCTTAACTGAGCTCTGACTTCAACAGCCAACACCATCCCACTGACGTTTGGCAGCTGCTACTAATTCTTCGGATTGCTGTGGACAGTTATGTTCCTGGGGCATCCCTGGAGAAGCACCATATCTGATCAGTTCCATGCTCTCAACAACCGACCTGACACTGGTAAGGGGCTGTGGCTGTGGCTACTGGCCATTGATGAATCATCTTTTCCAAATCATCTTTTCCGATGAGTAACAATGATTGGAAGTGGTGTTCTGTTTGACAGCAGAAGCCTGCCACTTGTGTCAGAACTTCTGCTATTGGAATGCAATCCTGCTGCCAGCAGTGCAACTGGAATGGCATCTCTCCATTCCACAGGATGGTGGCTGGCCAACTGCAGCATGGCACACTCTTTGGTGAGACTCCACTTATTTTGGGGGCACCGTGATCTCTTTGAACTGCTTTGAACTGCTTGAAGCTTTCATCTTCTCTGCACATTACTGATAGCTATACTTAAAGTACTTGTTCATTTTTTTTCTTTTTTTAAATTAATTTTATTAAAGATTATAATTAGAAAAAATAAATACTAATACAAATTACAAAAATAGAAAAAAGAAAAATAGAAAGTACAGAAAAGAAAAAAATAGAAGAAAAAGGTAGAAAAAGAAAAATATAAAGAAATAACTTCCCCCTTCATCACGACAAGTACAAACAATTTTGATAACTTATCACCATCTTTTAAATGCTGTCTTCTTCCCATATCTCTTAACTATAAACAAAATCTTAAAGCCTCATCATTCATTCCTAGTCAGCAAAAGTCCATTAAGGGCTATCACAGATAACTACATATCTATTTTAACCTTGATCAAATAAGCCAACTCTACATTCCTTCCTGTACTTTTAATCCCTTCAGATAGTGTCCTCGAACTTTATCTTCTGTTGTCTCCTCTCAGAAAATCCTTCAAAATTTTAACAGATCTCTTTTGTAAATCCAGTAAAAGAATGTTATCTAAATCTCTCTTATGATTTGATACTTGTATGTCCTTTTCAAATATCAAGACACCAACTGGTTTCATTTGTATATCCAATGTATCATCTTTTTCCATATCATTCTTGTAACTTGTTATATTTAAATCCACATTCAAATCACTTTCAGTCTTATTCAGTATAGCTTGTTCCTCTTCTGTAACAACATTTGCAAACCATCCATCTATGATATTGGACATTCTTAAAATTAATTTCTGAGTCCGTACTTCACAAATCTCCATAAAAATATCCACTGCTGAAGTGTTTTGCTCCATTCTGTTCTAGCGTGTCAAATATGAGTATTTTTCTCCTTTCATTCTAATCTTTACTTTCTTCTCGTTCCCTCCAGTGTCCAAAATTCAAAGTCCCATCTTATCATGGTTTTCCCCAAAAAAACAAAACAACCACAGTATTAATTTCAAATCCTTATTTCAAATCCATCTGGACCTTTAATCTGTTTTTAACTTTCCAAAATCAACACCCTTTTGCTGTTTATTCCAAAAAATAATATTTTTCTAAATCCTTAAACTTGTATTTAAAGCTTCTTTTGTGAAGGAGATGGAAACTCACCCAGCAATAAAAACTTGTCATACTGAGGGGTCTTAATATTTCAAAAGCAGTAAAAAAATAATTCCAAACGCGATTAAGAAATGAGGCTCCTTCGAGCTTTTTGTCCATAAAGGCTGCGTTACAGCTGTGAGCTTAGATCAAATCCTTTGACTCCCAGCTGCTTGACTCATAAGCCAACCACAAAAACCTCAGTTCCTGTGATCTACTCACAAGGAGCAGCTGTCCGGAGTGTGCATGGGCAATCTCATGATCTCTCCTTTCTCTGGAAAGAGTTCGTCAGCCACGATCCAGCATCCAGCCATGATCTCCACCATAAATGCCATCCCACTCAGACAGGGATGTCTAGCTCCCCATGGCCTCACCAAAAGTCTCCCCTTGTTCAATTTTTCTGATTCAGGACACATTAGCAACTTTTTTCATGGATTTTTGGATTTCCTCCAGCACCTCTTCACTGATGAGGAGTTTGATGAGGTAGATAATCTTACCTGTTGTGTGCCATAGTTAGGAGGGAGTTCTTTATGGGCCCTGGCTGAGAAGAATGAACATCCCTATTTGACATGGAGGTTTCAGAGCACCACAGCCTGGATAGAGTAAGGCCCTTTTATAACCAACGTACTGTGGCAATAAATAACAGAATGACTAATTGCCCACCTTTGCCTTATTCATTTCATGCTCAATGGGGCAATGGTGGATAATAATGATAGATGGAGCAATCTTCCTAACTGACAATAGCAGCTAGTGACCTGATTCCTGGAAATAAACATGAAGGTGATTTGATTCTTACTGAATCTCTTTTTGAAAACAAGTAACACACACACACACACACACACACACACCACTTTGTGAATTATGTGGGATTGTTTCAATCATTTAAGTATGAAATGTCTCTCCATAGGCATTTTCTTCTCATCTGCATTCATTGCCAGTTGTAAGGACTTGCAGGAAATGAGTTTGCAAGCATCCTGACAGGGATGGGTGGCTTGGTTCTCATGCATCCAAATCAATACGGGGGGAAGGGCATGTTCAGTAGTTGTCAAGAGGCTACCGCTGCATTTCTAAATGCTGACTGGGGCCTCTTTCAGCTCTTTTGTCTCTCCAGCTCTTTTTCTTGAAGGGTCTAAACAAGCAAGTCAGTTGACTAGGGTGAGGTATAACATGATTAAGTGGAGTTAATTTAATCCTGCCAGATTTAGCTGATTTAATCCCTTAACATCTTCTTGCTGACCCAGACAGGTGGGCGGTGGGATCAGATTTACTACAGGGGCTGTTCCACATAATCTGAAAGCCCAGGCTATACATATTTGGATAGCAGGATTTTCAGTCTAGATAGGTGTGAACAAAGGAAGATATCAAAGAAATTAGTGTGCATGTTCAGTGGTGGTGTAAAATATAATTTTTTGTGTAGGAGGAAGTGATTTGAATAAACATTTAAACTGTTCTTGTCTCCCTTGCCTTTACCAAAGTATATTTCCATGAATTGTAATATCACTATATAAATAGGTCATTATTGAAGTTTGAAGGATGTTCTCTTTACATTTTTCTATTAAATGGTTTTACATAACGATCCACATGAGCATCCACTGCTGTACCACATAGACAGATTGTGTTTCCCAATAAATATGCAGCTATTATTACACGTGAGGATTAGAATTACTAGTTCTACTCTTACATAGCATAAAAAAGATGCAACATTCAACATAATCAATTGG